ATAATTTTCGTGTTAGACCATACGATCCAGAATTGTGAGTTCCAGGAATTTTTAGCTGTGAAAGGATCTTCGACTGGATTTTTGGAGTTGACATCCAGCGACTGTAATGCGCTTTTGTTTGTTCCATTTTATAAATATCCTCAGGAAATGTTCTATTAGGGATCGATCTCATGTTGAATATATCCTGAATCAACGTTGTATTTATAAAATTACCAATTGCGATGTTCAATTTGTCAACGATAATGCTATTGTATTTCATGTTGAGTGTACTTTCTAGATGGTAAGGCCTATCAATAAGCTTGTACCATGTAGAGAAGAATGTTTTTAAGAGCATTACTAAGTCGTCATTGATACTGAAATTTTGAATGGAGAACGCCAGTTGTGTCACTATACAAGAGAAACCTTGATGATCACTGATGTTGATTGTTGCTTGCATCAACATGGAAGCGGCATCGAGAGTTGCATTAAAATTCATACTCATGTCATGATACATTGTAGAAGCAAAGATCTTGCCATTTAAGTTGAGGATTATATTGATCTGCCACTGCTGATTGTTTTCTTGATAATGAGCTGGCGATAGTGCAGCATAACTGCAATAGATAGATTGTGGAGTTAGATCAAGTTTTTTTATGGTTAATTTTATAGCATCATTGAGATCAAAGGAGAGTGAATTAGTGGACACATACGCGACAATAGCTGGAAGATTAGCAGCAATAAAGCTATTGATCAAGGGTGGCAAGACTCCAGGACCACCGAAAAAGTAGAATGTGTAATCGATATCTTTGCTAAATGGTTTGGTCGGAGCAAGTAGTGCTCCTATGTGACCTTCTGGTCCGGAGAAATTCACAGTGGTAACGAAAGTTCCCTGTCCCATATTTACCATCATCGTGTTGGATCCATAAGCGATATCGAAATACGACTGGGATATTCCAGTCCCACTACTAATATATGACACGGAACTTGTTCTACCTGCTCCGATCGTTTGGCTAGGAAACGTATTTTTCATATTCATATTTATTGATGTCGTTGATATCAATGGCTGCGAGTAGTCATTGGTGACTGTCATATATGCATTTGTCGGTTGTGTCATCGTCATCTTCACCATATTTCCTGTTCGTCTATGAGTTTCTATATTTAGGAAAAAACAAGTCATTGATTCAATAGTGTTAAACTAGTTCAAATGTTAAAAGGTGTCAATAGCAAAAATTTTGATAGAAAAATGAAACAAAATTAAACCAATTCCTTCGTTGTTTTTACCTAGCAAACATGAATGACCATAGAATGCAAATTCCGAATAGTGTACTCCACTTTCAACTCCTCGTTTCAATACTACCAACAGACGATAGCTTCGATAAGGTTGACTATTGTTGAACATTTGAAGAAAACCTATTTTGCCTCGACCTGGATCACTTTCAAGTCCACTCGAACCATTGTACATCAATGTCCAACTGCTACCAAGTGTTAACAAAGATTTGTTAGCATTACTTCCTTCAAGTGTAACCATTATTGGATCTCGTTTTGGATGACTAGTTGCAGTTATAAACTGGAATCCATTCACAATACAAATGCCAGCATTGAGTTTAAGATAAAAGCCTGTATTTAGACCAGTTTTTAGACTCATAGTATTAGTTGATCCTGATCCAAAACTTCTATATTTAATATGAATA